TGTTAATCATTATGTGTCAGTATATGTGTACATCGCCTTGGAGATGTGCTCCATCGACCTCAACATGTGCTCCATAAATTACACTTGCTAATATATGTATGTTTTCTCAATTATATTCGCGTCATGTGTATACATTTCATCTGTAATCGCATCAAAATAACTCCTCAGAGAAAGCATTAATTTGATGTTACATATATTTATTTCTGACTCGTGTTAATCATTATGTGTCAGTATATGTGTACATCGCCTTGGAGATGTGCTCCATCGACCTCAACATGTGCTCCATAAATTACACTTGCTAAATATGTATGTTTTCTCAATTATATTCGCGTCATGTGTATACATTTCATCTGTAATCGCATCAAAATAACTCCTCAGAGAAAGCATTGATGTTACATAGTTTCTGACTCATGTTAATCATTATGTGTCAGTATATGCGTACATCGCCTGAGATGTGCTCCGTCGACTTCAACATGTGCTCCATAAATTACACTTGCTATATATGTATGTTTTCTCAATTATTATTCGCGTCATGTGTATACATTCATCTGTAATCGCATCAAAATAACTCCTCAGAGAAAGCATTAATTGATGTTACATATATATTTATTTCTGACTCGTGTTAATCATTATGTGTCAGTATATGTGTACATCGCCTTGGAGATGTGCTCCATCGACCTCAACATGTGCTCCATAAATTACACTTGCTAAATATGTATGTTTTCTCAATTATATTCGCGTCATGTGTATACATTTCATCTGTAATCGCATCAAAATAACTCCTCAGAGAAAGCATTGATGTTACATAGTTTCTGACTCATGTTAATCATTATGTGTCAGTATATGCGTACATCGCCTTGGAGACGTGCTCCGTCGACCTCAACATGTGCTCCATAAATTACACTTGCTAATATATGTATGTTTTCTCAATTATATTCGCGTCATGTGTATACATTTCATCTGTAATCGCATCAAAATAACTCCTCAGAGAAAGCATTAATTTTGATGTTACATATGTTTATTCTGACTGCGTGTAATCATTATGTGTCAGTATATGTGTACATCGCCTTGGAGATGTGCTCCATCGACCTCACATGTGCTCTATAAATTACACTTGCTAAATATGTATGTTTTCTCAATTATATTCGCGTCATGTGTATACATTTCATCTGTTTTATGTTATTGTTTCCATTTATTCTAACTCATTGTAATATATTTTACCACAGTAAATTTAATCATTATTCTTATACACAAAGAATTATACACAAAAGCATTCCATCAAAGTGTCAAGTTTTTAATGTAAAGAACTGGACAAAAATATGCATATATATTAACATCTAAAAAGCATGTTGCATAAACAATATCACCACCACGAACCCCCTCCACCCGCCTCTCCCCCCTCCCCCTCCCCCCTCATTGTACCCTACTCGTACTGAATGGTGCATATGGGACAAATATAGTCCCCTCTTGGCCGGCGTGTGATGTTTACGCACCGGTAATGGCACCACCTACCACAAACATCACACGCCACCCAGTTGGTTGGGAGTGGTGGCTCGCAACACCCAACTGCGTCACAGATTGTCCTCTGTGAAGGCGGCTTTACCGATGCTGCCAGAAGCTGTTGCAGGACATGGCGCCGCATGCTTATAGCATGCTTCTGATTCAATGAAGCTGGATCTACCTTCATTGAGATGGCAAGACCATTCTGCAAATAAAAAAATATTTAAGTCACCTATTCACATTCATATTTTGTCCAAAATGTTCTAAAATATGGTGTGTAACATTTTAAATTATACTTCTAGCAATGGGCAGTTTGCCACTTAGCTTTACACAACATGGTCCTGCCTAAAACATTGCACTTTTATTTTGCCTTGTGGGTGCTTCATAAAGATCGTAAGTTGAACTTAAGTTCCGAGTTGGACCTAAATCAAGGTACAGTATGCCATTTGTACCCCTAGAATGAAAAACAATATTAAGGAGCAAAAATATTAGATATTTGAGACACTCGAGAAATTTCAAAATACAAACATAAAATCTGCTTTGTAAAGAATATATTGTTTAATTGTAAATGATTGAGTAATTGTGATAGCTTATTTAGCCATAGAATCAGATACATCCGAGAATCTATACTGCAATTTTATTTAAGAGTCACCTTAAACAGTGTAGGGAATGCTGATGCTGTCAAACTATTATTGTAAAAAGCCATTGTTAAGTGAGTGAATGCCAGGCGAGCTGATTTAAGGACGTTTATTTTAATGAAACAAAGTCAAATCATTAGAATCAATTACCAGTAGAACAAATGCTCCACACGAAGCCCCGTCAGTCTGCCTTGCTGACTGCAGCTGTCGATCCTCCACCCAGTGGCCTGCCAGCTCTCCCGTAGCCTCACTGCGAAGATCCATGTACTTCCTTTTGTATTCAAATGAAAAATCAAACTATCTCAAAACCAGGTGAGAAAGAAGAAAGCTTTACTTTAACATTGTCGCTACTTTTTTCAAGTTATTTTTAAAGATATTACCTTTATGCAAAATAAATAGGTCTCTCATACAAGTTCCTAATCATCATTAGTTGCCAATAGCGTTATGTACTGCTATGACAAGAAAACTATTACACCGCCAGCAGAGAGATTACCTTTCATCTACCTGGTGACTGCTCGCTATTCATAAAGACCCATATTCATCATTCAAAAAGTGGTCATTATTCATACGGACTGCCATGCATAATTATAGAAAAGGGTTCTTATTTGTAATATGATGGTTGCTATTTGTAATACGAAATGAGGGTTGTCATTCATTATGTTAGAAGAGGGCTTTTTACCCTATAGTAATGGTCGGTATATGTCATAAAAGATAATTTGAGGACTGAAATCTTGTCATTATTCTGACTTTTACACCTATTATAAACTTTAAAATAGCATTGTTGCACATATTGCAGAAAGAGACATCATTGTGATCATGAAATATGAGTATTTCAAATATAGCTAAGTTATACATTTAAAGATAAATAACAGTTTTGGAAAAGTTACTGAAAATATCTATATTGGCCAAACTAATTGATCAATATTATTGAATAAGTACTTAAAAAGGGCTTGTGTGGTAAAATCCGAACCTAGGCATCGTTAAATGAAGAAATATCGGAAGAAATCCAATGGCCACCCGTGAAATGTATAAATCCACCGCCCGTTCACATCTGTCCGCGCTGGGCTGGAGATATCGACAAGCCCGCATACGGGCCACATACCGGATAGCATATGGGGACCACGTGGACTTTTTCACGTAGCGTATGCGCGTTCCGCGTTGGCGATCGATTTGCAGCAAATCAGTTTTTTAATTTTTCAAATATATCAGTTAGTAGGCGGATTCCTGGCCAAGTTTTTATAATCCTATAATAGTAAAACTATCATTACGTATTTCTTGCGTTGTGATTGAAAACCCCCATCGTGGTCTTCATCAAGTGAACTCCCGCTGTGAGCTATAATGCTCCAGGCAAAATGCTCACAATTCCTCAATCTTTGACTAATATATGTTGTAATATGTGACTCACCTGAACTGCTCCAGGTACCTCGAGTTGTCTCTCCCAGGCAGCGAATCCAGCAAAGACACTGTCCTCTTTGCCGGACTGGCACACAAAAGTATCCAGTGGCTGTTGTCAACATTTATTGGAATTAACAGCCACTGGAACATGTGAAGTTTCACCTGATGAAGAAGAAATTAATGTTGTGAGTATGAATAATATAAGCTATATCTTAGATGTTTATTGTCTGAATCTAAATTTCTCTGTACATTTTCATACTTAAATCGGTGCTTCATGTGTTTTCAATAGACCCAATCCCAAGTTTGAAGCCAGTGTATTTGCATTCATGTGTTGTTTCTTCAGTAAGACAGTATGGCAAGTTGGCTTTTTTACAGCAATCTGTGTGCATTTTCATACCTTTTTGAAAAACCATGGCTGAAGATTGCTACTGCTCCATTGGACAGGAACATATGAAGGGATAACATAGATGTGGCCCTCATCCTCTCTGTTGGCCTGATTACGGAGGAGAAGCAGGTAGGCATTGATCACCTGTAAGAATACACACAAAACATAATAGCGTTTTAGTTCTTAAACAAGCGTAACTGTTTCACAAAGCAGGGGTTTGTTTGTTAAGCTAGTTTGTTTCTGTGGTGCACGCGTCACCTACTGGAGGGACCACCTACCTGTGTTTTTGGAATGTTATTACACATGTAACTCAACGTTTGCATCAATATTTATGAAAAATATTACTTTGCTACCTTGCTTGAAAAGGTCTTATACCTTGTCGTTCAGCCAGTTGGGATTTGTTAATGTCTCAAAGTCCTTATGCTCCAAGACATCGCCTGCTACATGGTAGCGGGATGATTGGTCTGGCATTTTTGGCATAGCTGGGTCCCTATTTAAAACCTTTACCAGATTGTCAGCCCCTGTTAATGAATAAACATTTAGGTTTGTGCACATAATTTTAATCACACTGTAAAGAAGCCCTGACGATACACACAACAGTGTGTTATGTAACCACCGTTGAGACTGCTGCTATGCCAGTGGTTAAATAACTTGCCTCTATTGAATACAAGACTTTGACCTACCATTTGGGATATCAAAGGTTCCATCAATTGGCAATGATTGCCTCGTAGTTTCTACCATGGTATGCAGCTTTTCCCACATTTCAGTGAGAGCCTCCCCATCATTACAAAGATACGTTAGATCTCGTAGCAAGGAAAGCTTCTCGCGACAATGGCCTGCCAGTCGTTTGAGTGGTGCCCCTCTGATTGGCAACAGGATGTCCTTTGTTGCGCAATCAGAGGGATCATCGGCAGAGATTTTCACTCCAGTCTCCCCTGCTGAAGTGTTGAATGGGGAATTGAAGGATGCTGGCAGACACTCGCTCTTCAAACCCTGATGAGTCAACACAACAAAGATATGTTTGCACGACAGCTTGGTTCTTAGGAAATATTGGCACTGGCAGTGCAGGCTAGGAGATATTATAGGCTAGATTATGAATATATACATGGATCAATTATGATATGTTTCTTAATCACGAATGTGATCATTAAAATCATAATTAATTACCAACATTAAAAACCTACCTCTCCCAGACTGTGGACATTTCTGTGGTCCTCATCACTAGGAAGCTGAATATAAATTCTCTTCTCTATTTGAAGGGCATCACCTCTTGCCATGGCCTCTTTCACTCTCTGACTGGTCTTTTTCTGTAGATAGGTGGTAGAAGCCTTGTCAACCTGCAGAGAAAAAAGTATGGATACAAATATAATTACATGTGATAAAGTCCATTATAACCAAAATATCAGCAAGAAAAGGGACAAAACCAAACATGTTGTAACATATCTTATACTTAGGGACTTGCTGGTATCAAAGTACCGTTCAGGGCATTTCGAAGGCCCAAAATGCTTTACAAATTAATACATAGATGTCACAAGCTTCTCTTACCATCTGAAAATACATGATTTCACTTGCCTGAACAGCTATATTATACAAAATTGTGTTACACTCATAGCTTGATGGGCGTAAGATTGCACATTTTCCTCCTAAAATAAGACATCCTACATGGGCCTTATCCCGATAACAAAGGACTTTTGGCTTAGGCTTACCTAGCACAATAATCTTTCAATTATGTTTTTTGTATTTCCTTCTAAATGTGTTATTATACAATTTCTTGTATGTGCATTGATTATTAGTTCAGTGATAAGTAACAAGGCCAGTGATATGTATGTACTTAATTAAACATTTGGCTACCTTAAAATCCACGATGCGTGCTACTTCCCTCATGTGGAGTTTTGCTGGACATCCCATCTTCTTTGACGACTGCATTTTCTTGGCTTTCTTTTTGCAGGTTGGATGATCTTGCTGTAAGTAAACAAACAGAAGAAGAAATAATTTATAGTTAGTAGAGCTGCACTTTGCATTTTTGCTCATTAGTAGGCCATATAACGTCCATTTAACTTGAAATTTTCACACAACGCCAAGTTGACATATCAGATAACAACAATATACATTGTATCAACCACTCATCATTTTTTGCACATGTCGACAAAGTTACTTTGTTTGCAAGTTTAAAAAGTGATGAGTGATTAATAAAATGTGTATTGGAGTGATCTGATATGTCCACAAAGTAATGTGGGAAAATTTCACGTTAATTGGATGTTTTTTGGCTGAAATATGAGTAAAAATGCAAAGGGATATTCACTTACTCATTGTACTTACTTGGTACACGGCGGGCGGGTTTGTCCAGCACTCGCGGTTGCCGCCCGGCACTATATATCTCCGCCCAGCACTAATTTTTGATAAAAATAAAATATAAAAAAGTCGGATATATGGGCTTTTTATTGCTCAGAATGCAGGAAATTGAATTTCAGACTATCCAAAATCAAAAATTTTATGGGGTGGCATGCCCCCGGACCCCCCTAGATTAGCTTCGCGCCTACGGCGCTTGCATCACTGGATGCGCCTGCCACTAAAAAATCCTGGGCAGAAGCCTGTACCTATCTGGAATATAGACATAGCTGTAGATGGGACCTCAAGTTATGGAATAGTTTGCATTAAAAAAGGGTGATTGATGTAGTCATGATTCAACTGCATTTTAACAGACATGCAGTGGAGGGGCTCATATGCAGTCCATCTGAACAAGATTCATTGTTACCTTATGTTGTATTTTTTCCTCCTCTGCTGCTTTCTTGTTCCTGGCTGCATGCTTGTCTCGTCCAAACATACATGAGTATTCCCATCGTCCTCGCAGAAAGAAAGGTGTACCATCACCTTCAATGACGGAATCTGAAAATCTGATCTTTTGTTTGGGTCCTGTATCATGTATGGGGAAAAAAAAGGACATTTAAGTTTGTTGTTTTAGTGAACACTCAACATGACTGGCTGCGCACCTGCGTTCAAAAAAAGATGTTGAAAGGGTATCATTTTTAGCTATACGGCATCGTCGATGCGACGTTTGCCTCTAAAAGGTATTGCATAGGTATAATCAGGGGTCGAATTAGCCGCTAGCCCGCTAGCCCGGGACTAGTAATTGTTTGGAAAGACTAGTTAAAGGCCAGGGTGGCTTGCCCGTCGGGCAAGCAAGTAAACAATTTCAGACCAGATTTCGTAATTCGTGAAATGAACGTGTGTGCGTGAGCGCGTGTGTGCGTGAGCGCATACATGTGTGCTGAGCGCGTGTGTATGATGTGTGTGCGTGAGCGCGTGTGTGCGACGTGTGTGCGTGAGCGCGTGTGTGCGACGTGTGTGCGTGAGCGCGTGTGTGCGACGTGTGTGCGTGAGCGCGTGTGTGCGACGTGTGTGCGTGAGCGCGACGTGTGTACGTTAGCGCGTGTGTGCGTGAGGCGCGCGTGTGTGACGTGTGCGTGAGCGCGTGTGTGCGACATGTGTGGTGAGTGCGTGTGTGCGACGTGTGTTGCGTTAGCGCGTGTGTGCGTTAGCGGCGTGTGTGCGTGAGGCGCGTGTGTGTGACGTGTGCGTGAGCGCGTGTGTGCGTGAGCGCATACATGTGTGCTGAGCGCGTGTGCGTGAGCGCGTGTGTGCGACGTGTGTGCGTTAGCGCGTGTGTGCGTGAGCGCGTGTGTGTGACGTGTATGGCAAGCCATTTGTATCATAATTCGAGAAACCCGCCACGGTTCCTCGCACGAAACCAGGTTTCGTGTTCACAAAACCTAGCTTCTTGGCTCAAGAAACCAGGGTTCTTGCCATGAAACTAGGTTTCGTGGCACGAAACTTGGTTTCTAGCCCTATAACCGCAGTTATAGCTGGAATCTTAGTTTCTTGAGCAAGAAACTAGGTTTTGGGAGCAAGAACCTAGGTTTCAGCAAGAAACCTACTTTCAACGCGCGCCATTTGTATCATAATTCGAGAAACCATAGTTTTCGAGCGACGAAACCAGGTTTTCGTGCTCACAAAACGCCGTTTATTGCCATGAAACTAGGTTTTCATGGCATGAAACCTGGTTCTAGCCCTATAACCGCAGTTATAGCTGGAATCTTAGTTTCTTGAGCAAAAACTAGGTTTTGGAGGCAAGAAACCCACTTTCAACCGCGCCATTTGTATCATAATTCGAGAAACCATAGTTTCGACGCGACGAACCTAGTTTCGTCGTTGCTAAGGCCGTATCTAGGATTCGTAATCCCGAGCGTGACGTCAGCGTAGTTCAGCCACTCGGGGCCACTGCTCAGTAAATACTATAGAAATAACATACTAGTTAGGCTAATTAATTAAATATTGTATAAATAAATTAAATATGCTGTGCTATTAAATGTATGAGAGTGTACGTGCGTGTATCTGCGTGTACCCGCGTGCACGTGCGTGTACCCGCGTGTACGTGCGTGTACCAGCGTGTACCCGCGTGCACGTGCGTGTACCAGCGTGTACGTGCGTGTGCCCGCGTGTACCCGCGTGCAGACGCGTGTACGTGCGTGTACCGCGTGCAACGCGTGTACGTGCGTGTACCCACGTGTACGCGGGTACACGCACGTACACGCACGTACACGCGTGGGTGCACGCGGGTACACGCACGTACACGCTGGTACACGCACGTACACGCGGGCACACGCACGTACACGCACGTACACGCACGTACACGCACGTACACGCGGGTACACGCACGTACACGCACGTACACGCTGGTACACGCACGTGCACGCGGGCACACGCACAGTACTCGCACGTACAGCGCACGTACACGCGGTACACGCAACGTGCACGCGGTACACGCACGTGCACGCACGTGCACGCGTGTGCACGCGTCTGCAGCGCGGTACACGCACGTACACGCGGTACACGCACGTACACGCTGGTACACGCACGGCACCGGCGGGTACACGCTGGTACACGCACGTAACACGCGGGTACACGCACGTGCACGCGGCGTACACGCAGATACACGCACGTACAGTCTCATACATTTAATAGCACAGCATATTTAATTTATTGTACAATATTCAATTAATTAGCCTAACTAGTATGTTAATTTCTATAGTATTTACTGAGCAGTGGCCCGAGTGGCTGAACTACGCTGACGTCACGCTCGGGATTACGAATCCTAGATACAGGCCTTAGCAACGACGAAACTAAGGTTTTCGTCGCTCGAAACTATGGTTTCTCGAATTATGATACAAATGGCGCGGTTGAAAGTGGGTTTCTTGCTCCCAAAACCTAGTTTCTTGCTCAAGAAACTAAGATTCCAGCTATAACTGCGGTTATAGGCTAGAACCAGGTTTCATGCCATGAAACCTAGTTTCATGGCAAGAAACCTGGTTTTGTGAGCACGAAACCTGGTTTCGTCGCTCGAAACTATGGTTTCTCGAATTATGATACAAATGGCGACGTTGAAAGTAGGTTTCTTGCTGAAACCTAGGTTCTTGCTCCCAAACCTAGTTTCTTGCTCAAGAAATTAAGAATCCAGCTATAACTGCGGTTATAGGGCTAGAAACCAGGTTTCATGCCATGAAACCTAGTTTCATGGCAATAACCCTGGTTTCTTGAGCAAGAAACTAGGTTTTGTGAACACGAAACCTGGTTTCGTGCGAGGAACCGTGGTTTCTCGAATTATGATACAAATGGCGCGGTTGAAAGTGGGTTTCTTGCTGAAACCTAGGTTCTTGCTCCAAAACCTAGTTTCTGTTCACGAAACTAAGATTCCAGCTATAACTGCGGTTATAGGCTAGAAACCAGGTTTCGTGCCACGAAACCTAGTTTCATGGCAAGAACCCTGGTTTCTGAGCACGAAAAACTAGGTTTCGTGCGAGGAACCGTGGTTTGTCGAATTATGATACAAATGGCTTGCCATAGACGTGTGCCTGAGCGCGTGTGTGCGACATGTGCGACGTGTGTGCGCGAGCGCGTGTGTGCGTGAGCACGTGTGTGCGACGTGTGCGTGAGCGCGTGTGTGCGACATGTGTGCGTGAGTGCGTGTGTGCGACGTGTGTGCGTGAGCGCGTGTGTGCGACGTGGTGTGCGTTAGGCGTGTGTGCGACGTGAGCGCGTGTGTGCGACGTGTGTACGTGAGCGCGTGTGTGCGTGAGCACGTGTGTGCGATGTGTGTGCGTGAGCGCGTGTGTGCGACGTGTGTGCGTGCGTATACGCGTGTCGGTGATACGTGTTCTTGTGTTGCACGTGAACTAAACTACAAAACTAAAAACTATTTAAGTAAAGGACTAAATAGTAAATAACTAAAGTAAAGCCAAGGCAAGGACCAAGGTATTATGACTCACCTTCTGGAAAGGAATTATGCCTTTCCGACACAAACGTCAGAGAGGCAAAAACCTCGAAGTGTTTTTTTACTTCGCACGCTTCCTCAAATGTTGAGACCCATCCAAGAGCTCCATGATCTCCCTCAGGTTCAGACACAGGGTGCCAGATGTCGGTCCATGGGCGGGGACGTGACAGCGGCAAGGGAATGAGCGGTACAGCCACCGCCGTCATATTGTTATTGTCTGCTTGTAAGGTTG